TCCAGACGGTGTTTATCAGCAGCCATTTCTGGTGGGATGGAACTGATATGGCAGTGACTTGATAGCAGAGCAAAGCTAAAACTGCAAAAATCTCCTGATAACCACGCTTGTATCCAGGTCATTAAACTGGGGTGTCTTTGTTAACATCGTGTATTCACTGAAGGCATCGGTCTATTGAGAGATGGTTGTCTTGGCAGCCTCTCGGGAGACCTGCTCAGGAGATCTATGAGAATGACCTGCTGCTGGTTGAGCTGGGAAATCATATTTCCGATGTTAGCAGTGTAATGGGATCTTTGTAACACATCCTCCACCATGCACTGTGGTTGCCACCAGACATAGAGTTGCTCTGAGCAGGAGGTTTGAGTAGGGGACCTCGAGGTCCCTTCCAATCTGAATTAATCTGTAATCCTAAAACCCTTCCAAGGCACCATCAGACTGGTAGGGTGGAAGGGACCAGCACCAGCAAGGTCATATCACTGAGAGAGGACATGCCAGATGGACCGGTGTTTACATAAAGAAGCCTCTTGGGTCTCAAATAGGGCTAAACAGAGCATGAGGACACAACCACCAGATATTCAGGCTGAGCAAAGGAGAGAACATCAAATGTGCTAAGAGGACAGGCTGAGAGAGTTGGGGTTGTTCAGCCTGGAGAAGAGAAGGCTCCGGGGAGACCTTAGAGCCCCTTCCAGGGCCTAAAGGGGCTCCAGGAGAGCTGGGGAGGGACTTTTTCCAAGGGCATGTAGTGATAGGACAAGGGAGAATGGCTTCAAACTGGAAGAAAGGGGATTTAGATTAGATAATAGGAAGAAAGTTTTCAATCTGAGGGTGGTAAGGCACTTGAAGTGTCCAGAGAAGTTGCAAAAGCCACATCCCTGGAGGTATTTAAGGCCAGGCTGGATGGGGCTTTGAGCAACCTGGTCTAGTGGGAGGTGTCCCCGCCCAGGGCAGGGATCTTGATGATCTTCAGGGTCCCTTCCAACCCAAACCGTTCTATGAAATGTCAGGGAAGTCAACATGGAAGCTGTAAAGATCCAGGGCTGTCAAGAGCCTTATGGCAGGAAAGAGGTTGGATTGTGATAAGGAGATAACAGTAGTAGGAATTATGTCCTAACCAAGGTGACAGGAGAGAAGCCAGATGAAATCCAGGTGTGTGAAGCCTGAGGACAAGCAACAGAGGTGGTGCAGGAGGTGGTAGTTCATGAGCAAAGAGTGAGTTTAGATAACGAGATGGTTAAATTCATTGTTGGGTTGGTACCTTCATCTTGAAAAAAAGGACATATTTGCAGTGCAGGCACCTGGTCTGTCCTGGGATCTTTCCAAAAAGAAAGTTCTGGCTGGGAATAAGGTGGTCAGCCTGCCTTCCAGTTAAAGTTATTTCCTCCCTGATGTAATGCCAGACCTGGCTGCTACTTCTGAAGAAATCCGAAAGGTGTAAGCAACTACCTCAGGAGAAATAAATGCTGTTCCGCGATTCAAATGGCAAGAGGACAGTACCCATCTGAAGCGGAACATCTTCGCCTCTTCATAGGTAATGGTGTGGACTGGAGGAAAGAATGATCAAAAGCGCAGAAGGCACATGGAGGAGTGTTTAAAGCTCTCTGGACTTGCATAATCGCTCAGGAACAGGAGGAGAAACGCCAACCAAACAATAATTGCATCTGGACAGCATTCAAAGGCAGCGTAGCTGTCTCATTGCCTCCCAGGAGCAGCTTCCCGGTGAAGGCTGCTGAGCTCTGGGAGGTGACTTTTGTACTGCTGACCGAGGCGTCAAAATGGGCAAAAGGTCTTTATGAATCAGCTTCCGAAGTATTGCAGAGCTTTAGCTGAGCAAACTCCTCCTAAAATCCAGTCCAGCTCAGCCACCAGGAAGGATTTATCTAAGCACAGCAGAGTAAAACTAGAGGCAGTGAAGTGATGTGAAAAGGGAATATACTGCAAGAATCTGAGGGCTGAATTTAATAAGTTGGAGATTGGCTTCCGCATTGCTGGCCATCCTTCAGGAAAGAGAAGTAATTTTCGTGGTGATGAATACTTATTACCTTAGACCAGATGGGAAAGTTTGTTTTTTATTTATATAACATTTTACTGTTTATAAATGTAAAATAAGCCACCTACTGTCCTAAGCATTCACCTGGAAGAACTTGAAAACAAGCAGGAGCTTTAATAGCTTAGATGAGGAGGGACCAGGTCCATTCCTGC